TGATCTATACATATAAAGGACCCAATCATTCAGAAAAACCAAACATGGTTTAAAGACATGCCAAAAAGTTTTCCACCTATATGGAAGGGTGTACCAACGATCAAAAAGAGAAAACCATTAGCTTCTTCAAGTTTTATGATGGAAAAAAATTTTATTGGTTTCCTTATTGGTAAAAATTGGTCCCAACGGAACAACGAGTGCCTTGTATTTGCTGCACTACACAAAATAGCACATCGATTACATGCTTACAATGAAGCAGGGATAAACTTGATTAACTCCTTGTGCTATAGTGCCAAAGGTCAGTGTTATTACTGTGAGAGAAGACCTCGATGTCATGTTTCTATCGATAAAGAATATGTCACTAGACCATAAGGTTAGGACTATAACTGTGGCACATGAATTGGGGTCACGACATTAGCCTGGGTAGAAACAAGGTCCATCTAGGGCCATAGTGCTGAGATCAACACTATGACAAAGTCCTAAGGATTTAGTGTTGCAAAAATGGAAAACGCCATCTAGGCATTGAAGCAGAACCGAGTGTGATGGCCTTGCACTATTGTGAAAGTAATGTTGTGTGGCTACCACAAAGAGTAAAATAATGCCCATATGTTGAGAAGCGACATTCACATCATTTTAAGGCCAAAATAGGATCATCACAATGAAATTAACAGGAGTAATGTTTTAGTGTCAGGGCATATCTAAATTCATAACCTCAAAGGAGGCACTCAAAAATGAGGTTATACGATGAAAAATGTGCGAACCTTGCCCGATTTGTCTCTAAAATCAACCTAGCCTACCTCTTCTGACATTGTGCCTAGAGCTTTTCTAAAAAGGAAATCACGAAGGAAAAAAAACCATCATCTATGGAATGATTGAATGATCTACAAAGCCTTAAGGCTTGGTCGACCACTCTGAAAGCTCCTATGACTTCAATGGATAACACCTTCAATGCCAGAAAACTCCACTTAAGGGGAAGAGAAGGTGTCAAAAAGGCTAGAGGAACTCAAATAGTCTCATGACTGGCTATAAGAAGCTTTTAAATGCCCAACATACTCAACGAAGCCAATCTTTGGGACAACATAGGGTTGTCCCTTTTATACCGACTTTGAATATGACATCAGGATGCTGCTAACGTGGCAGATGTCACATCAGCCAACAAAATAAGGTGTGTAGCTCAAAATCTGACGTGTGTTAAGTAAAAATAGAGGTGTAAGTGAGTCATGACAACTTGTGAGTCTGTTCGAGCTTAGCTTGATAGGTGGTTTGTGAGCTGAGCTTGACGTGCAAACACGCCAACCTCAAGCTAGCCCCAACTCGACTCATTTGCTAGTGAGTCTGCTCATTTAAAAAAAATAAATATAAAATATACTTAAAATATATTAAATTTGAAAACTTTATTTTTAAAGTAATAAAAAAATTTCAAAAATAATATTTTATTTTTTATATTAAGTGGTTTCTTATTATTTCTCTCATAATTGCTCATTCTCTTTGTCATTTTATTATAACTCTACCTTAAATTAATATTATTTTTCTCTTTCATAATAAAATAAGTGGGCTCGTTAGCTGGCTCGAACTTCTAGACTTAAGCTCGTGCTCAAACTCAATACAATTAATCAAGCACAAGCTCAATCCAAGGGTGGCTCAAGCTCGACTCAACTTGATTAAACCCCTAACTTAGACATCGTGGCTTGATTGAAGGTGTTGGGACACAACAGAAATGAATGATGCCACATCAATAACCATCATGGCGGTTGTCCAATCAAAATCCGCTTTTGGGATCCAATTAGTCGAGGTTTCGTGATAGTAGACATGGTGTCAGAGCACCGTTGATGTGTGTAGTGCCATATCAGTATCTATTATGATATCCATCCAATCATAAATGTCAGGGGCTTAAAAATATCAAGGAGCCATGGAGCTGGACCTGACATCGTGATGTTGGCATGGTAGATGCTACTAGTCATTGCCTTGGGTCCTTATAAGCCGCAAAAAGTGGATATTTTAGGGTCAAGGAGCTCGAAATGATGTCAGGACTTTCGAACGAGACATGTTCGCTCGAGTCTTGTTGATCTAAAAAATCTTATGATATTCACATCATGACTTATCGGGCGAGCTAAAATTCAAAGATTGCATATGAATTTGATAATCAAAAGTTGGTTCTATGCTCTTCTTTAGCTTCTTCTTCTATTATTGCTGAAGCAGAAGCTGTAATTGTGGAGTTGGAAATTGTTGTTGAATGTGGCTAGGGTAATATATGTATGGAAATGGACTCTTACGATTTGTGGAGCTATTGTTGCAAGAAGAAGGATTATCCTTGGAATCTTGTTATTCAGCTGAAGAGAATTTCGGTTCTTATGAATTTTGTGCAGGTTCTGTGGATGTTCATACATCGGGAGGGGAAGGTTTGAAGTCTCAGAATTACATTTTTTCTAATAAGGCTCCTATGGAACTTGCTCAGCTCAGGTTATTAAAGGGAATACGTTAAATGTTCTCTTTATTTGTGTTAATATGTGATTTTTTTTCTTCTTTTGCGTGAGTTGTATTGTGGCCAAGGTTTCTTAGGATTTTTATTTTCTTAAGTGAGTTGTAAGTGTGATGGATTGTAGTAGATCTATTGGCCACCCCCATATTCTAACTATTTTTTTGGATGAAATAAAACTTCCTACGGGGTTACTAAAAAAAATATCTTTTAACCTAATCGAATTTAACACTTGAACAGTATATCAAACTAAATCCAAAATAACTCACAAGTGTACTTACTAAATTGTACACCTTTATCTCTCTTCTCTTCATATCAACTTTAGTATTGTATTTTTTATTGCTAAATGTCAAACAAATAATAATAATAATAATAAAACTTCAAATTAATTTATTTTTTCGATTATATCCACTAGTAAGATTAATTTCAAGAATTAATTTATTTAAAAGAGGGTAATGATAAACCATATAATATCTAACTAAAATTTAAAGTTATCATGAAAAGAACTATTCTCTCCAATTATCGGCCACAACCCTTTTCACTTAGGTTGGTTTTTTTTTCATTGAATATGTATGCATTAGAAATGTCGGCACGAATCTCAAAGGGAGCGAACAAACAAGATAAAAGAGCTTTTCTTCGAGTTAAGCAACCAACAGACAATTCAATGACGATCATGAGAAACCGCATCTCCAAGCCCGGGATAAGTCCAAGCTCTAGAGATGGTTCCCCGCTCGGTAGCTGTCAGATCCATCTAGAGTGAGGCGTAGATCCTCTCGGCAGCAAGTTTCTCCAGATACCTCACATAGGCCACAAGATCCGCCCAAGACATTTTGAGAAAAAATATCTGACCGAGGCGATGAACCTGATCCATCCGATCGGCTTCCTGGTTGAACCTCATCAAATCAAACAACCCGCAGAGCACCTCCAGTTCGTGCAACAGCTCATTCATCTCACTTTGAAGAGCGACAAGCTCTGTCTGCAGAGCCGCTACTTCAGCATCCAGGCGAGCGAACAGCTCCTACACAGAATCTGCAGCCAACCGACGCCACCCAATCTCGACTACCCGCTGCTACGTGATTATGAGGGATGGCGCTCCCCCGCTTGTCCTCCTAGTTGGAGATCTATCACAGGCGAGGGACCAGGTAGCTGATGAAGGATATATAAATAGGAGATAAAAATACAAGTAAAGGGGTCTCTCTCTCCTGTTTCTCTCGACATTAAACTCTTGAATCACTCTACTCTTTTTTCTCTCTTTCACTCGATTCTAAACTCTCAAAGCGTGTCCACAAAAGATAATACAAAATCCAACAAAATAAAAGAAGATTTGCATACATACCACATAATTCTTTTGTATTTATGTATTTAATTCACAGTGTAATTTTTACATCCATACCACTTTATCTATATAAGAAAAAAATGTATTTCATATTTTAAAATTTAAATTAGTTATATTTATGATATGATATTAAGGATTTGGGTGTTCCAAATGTAAAGAGCAAGATTTGGCTATTAGATATATACATATAGAGAAATTAGGTGGTATATATGTAAATGTTTCTTAAATAAATGAATCATAAATACATAAAAATTGTGTGGCTCAATTATCAATCTTAAAATAGCTTGTTATCATAATCAATTTACCTCTGGATTATAAATGTCACTCAAGGATAGAGTTGTTAATGATCTGATCTCAAGCCGAGTTGGGATCGGCTCAAAATCTGCTTAAAAAAAATTTAAACTAAAATTTTGGCTCGTAATTCAGATCTCGATTCAGACCAAAATTCATATCAATTTTTGAACGATTAATAATCTTTGGGTTAAATTTGTTAAACTCACATTCCTAATTAATAAGACTCTTAACGGTTCGATTTCGATTTGAATTGGAGTTGACTGCTTAAAAAAATTGACTTAAAATTTTAATTCATAACTTAAAATTTTGAATTCTTTAATGATCTTGGATCTAAGGGCATGTTTGAGGCAGTTTATAAGTGCGGGGGCGTTTTTGAAAACACTACGTTAGCGTTTGGATCGAGCTTTTCGCCCGTTTATCCAAAAACATGTTTACATATTTAGATTAAACTTAAATTAAACGCAAGCCATGAGTCAAATCCCACGATCGAAGTCGAACAACATTTATCCTCAAATACTGACTCAAATGCACAGTAAATTTACAGCGCTGCCCCACCAATTGGTGTAATCATTTTGTCCTTTCCTTCGAGTTTCGGGTGTACGCACTCGGCGTATAATCCGACAAATCGGAAATAACTCGTCGTCCAACCTCTGCGCTGTCCAGAGCCTATGTATTAAAACCACTGAACTCTTATTAATTAGACTATTGGTGGACCCACAGAAGCGTCATCCCCATGCCGAACTCTTCAGGATTCGTGCAATCCATTAAAGCTATGTGTAAGCAAATCTTAAAGCAGTATCGAGGAATGAGATTTCATTGTACAAGCTAACACATAATTAGCGAGTTTTAAGTGCGAATCAGCACCTGGTTCCCTCCGTTGATTGATTTGCAAACACTTCAATTAAAATTTAGAGGCGGGGAGCAAACCAGAAACACTGAAGTTGCACCGATTCTCTCTCTCTCTCCCTCTCTCTCTCCGTCGATTGGGAGAGATTTTGCGTTCCGGTGATCATCGGAGGTGATGTGATCTTTCTTGTGGTTGGGAGAGTGAGTTTTGAGCTTATGGCTGGATTAGTGGCGCGCGACGGGGCGACGACGCCGACGTCGGCTATGGAGGGGTTAAAGAAGAAGGCGGCGGCGAGGAGCTGGATTTTACTGGATTCCACCGGGGAAGAGACAATCCTGGATGTGGATAAGTATGCAATCATGCACCGAGTTCAGATCCATGCTCGGGATCTGCGGATCCTCGACCCCCTCCTCTCATATCCTTCTACTATATTGGGCAGGGAACAGGCGATTGTTCTCAATCTCGAGGTGCTTGATAAGAGTTCTTTTTCTCGTCTGTGTTGTTATTCGTTCTTTGGGTTTAGTTATTTGTTTGTTTAGTGCTGATGATTTGATTGTTTTGTTTGACGAGCAGCATATCAAGGCGATTATAACTTCTGAAGAGGTACATTGTTTTTTGTTTTCCTTGGATTCGAAGTTTTTCTCTCTAGTTTTTACTGATGTCTGCGAGGTTAACTTGTAATTGTTTATTATTACTATTATTATTATTATTTGATTGGTGGCTTGGAGCAGGTTTTGCTGAGGGATCCTTTCGATGACAATGTTATCCCGATTGTGGAGGAACTTCGGAGACGCCTACAGCCTATGGCTACGCAGCAAGGCGAAGGGAGGGAGAACTTGAGTGGTTTGCATGATTTAGAAGTTCCTGATGAAGATGGTAAGTTGAGCTTATTTCATTCTAGAAAATTGCACGTTCATCTGAAATCATGCTTCATCTGTGCATGCACAGATCAATATTTGCTTTGAATCCGCTTCCAGCAGTTTCATTTAAAAAAAAAATTGCTCTTTTTTATTTTCTTGAAGAACAACATTAATTGCAGGGCTCTGCATTTTAATTGTAACAGCATTAAACAACAACACACTAGACGATAGGAACTTTTGCAACATGGGAAAATGATATTCCATTATCAGTTTCTACAATAGCTTCCTGATTATTCAATTTGTTATAAATAATAATTTGTGTTTGTCATACATGAAAATAACAATTAATAGATCTTGGAAATTAAATAATATCCATATAAAAATATAAAATAAAGCAAGTATGTAGACTAATTGTTTTAGAAAGAGTAATTATTCTATGAAGATAATGTGGTATTAAATTTTATTACTCTCTTATATTGATGAATCAATAGAGATCACCAAGCTCTCTTCTAGAAACACTGAGGTGATCTACCACAAAATTTTCTTGGAGCTATCTGTAAAGTGATTCTCTTAATAATTAAGAGGAAGCTCCACCACTCATGCTTAAACTTTTAATTAAGGAAGCTCCACCCCTTGTGAAATATCTTCTTATAAAATTCTTCGGAGAGATCATTATAGAGAAAAGTATTCGCTTGACATAAATTTCACCCTTAATTAATGGTCACAGTAAGAAAGATGTGAATAGATTTCAGTTGAGCCATTTAAGAAAAGGTCTCAAATGATCAATTTTTTGAACTTTTGTATTCTTTTGCCTCCAATCGAGTCTTATTGCAAGTAACATCTGGATGAGATAATCATTTGTGAACCTTACTGGTTGGCTCAAGCCTCCTTGAAAGAACTTGGTGCACCTTGCCTCGCTAGCATTCAATACATCTCCGATAGTCACTTTTGGATGAAGATGGTAGATGATCACATTTTTTCTTTGTATCTTACTAAGCATGTTGTGACTCACTTGAGCTGATCTAGCAGATCACATATCAGCATTATCATGTTTGAGAGTTCTGCCATCATTAGAACTGTCAGCAGATAGAACATAACGCTTATTCACTTTTCTCTCTTTAATGATAAACTTACCATAAACGTTAACATTATAGAAAAATTATTGTTTATATAAACATTACAATGTCGTTTTTATGTTATTTGAAAAATAAAAAAATAAACTTTTATCTCAAGAATACAATATCCATTGCTGATAAATGAAAGCTAAGTCAATAAAAGAAGCTCTTTCATGTGTATTTTCATTATAATTAGTACTCGAATCAAGGATGCAAATGTCATCAAACAATATCCTAGCTTCAGGAAAAAGCTAAGATGGTGGAAAGCCAATTAGAGAGTCTATATTTTGTCTATCAACTTGCTTTAGTAATGCATCCTCATTCTCTAAAAATTGGATTTGTGTCTTGTTGGTTATAGAGTGGAGAGCCGAGAAGATATCCTGTGGCTTATTTGGTTACTTCTACTTTGAATTTACAGGTGTTCCTTTTCCATGCTGAATTTGAAAATATCTATTTATCTACCAACTATGATTTGCCACTGCCTCCTCGCTTCTCCGTTGTTGAGAGCACTTATATAAGATGTTCCCCATCCTTATGAACTTTGAGCTTTATCATAAATTTTCATCTTTGATTCTCAGCATTCTTCTTGCTTCCATTTTTTTTCAGTAAATCGGCTTCGTATAATGGTCTCCACGCCATTGACCACTTTTTTTGGATCCTGGTTGATTAATTAGGATTTGATGCTAGTCTTCCAATTTGTGTACTTGGTGTTGTTTAAGTTGGGAATTTGAAGAGGAGACATGGTTGAAGTCTCTGAGACTTGATTCATAATTGTGATCTATAATCATGGTCAAATTCAATGTGCTTGAATATAAACGACTTACTGGATTTGGGAATTCAAGACTAAGTCAATGTAGATCATCATGCACAATCACCAAACTTTGATACCAAGCTGAAGTACTAAAAAAATTTGCACTCCCATGTTTGGAAAAAAAATTAAGCAAGAGTCTCATCCATAACAAATAGAGCAAAATATGGAGCATATTTATTTTTGACGGACTAAACATACCTTAAAGAGATTGAAGCACATTGAAGCAAAATATGGAGCATATTTATTTTTGACGGACTAAACATACCTTAAAGAGATTGAAGCACATTGAAGCAAAATATGGAGCATATTTATTTTTGACGGACTAAACATACCTTAAAGAGATTGAAGACATATATATATATATATATATAATAGAAACAAGAGATACATGTATATATATTATATATATCTATATATATATATATATATATATATATCCCCTCTATCAGCTTGCAAATTTTGGGTTAAAATTTGATGCGCTCATATTAGACCCAATCTATTCCTATTTGTTTCACCACAACTACTTTATTTTGGCGCATAATTTTTGAAGCATCAAACTGAAATTTATTCACCCAAAATGAAATCACTTTTAATTTTTAATTCAATCAAATTTATTGAATCTCATCAAATCAATAAATGATGATTAAAGAGAATGAAGGTAGTATCATTTAATGTACAACATAATATTTGCATCATCAAGTACAAGCATCACCCTACTAGTTCTACTTTTTCAAAATGGTCAGGGTATTAATGTAATCTAACAACAGCCAGAAGTAGTCAATGTTATTTTCTATGTTTAGGTTTACAACCAATTTATGCAAGACTTACTGAGTAAGCAGCCTAATATTATCTGATGTTCTCAATTACCAACTATTGAGTTACATGAGATTGTAATTTTATTTACAAAAAAGTCATCATTATTGGGGCGCTAATTCTATCATCCCTATTAAATTGCTTCTAAGAAATTAAATGATGATTAAGGAAAATGAAGTTAGTATCATTTAACGAACAATCACAATATTTGCATCATTAAGTTCAAATACCAGCTTACTAGTGGCTCCCTTTTCAAAAACATCGGGGTTTTAGGCTCTACTTAACAAAGCCCATATCCTCCATGTTATATTACAATTTTAGGTTGATCTCCAATTTATGCAAGCACCTACAGAATGAATGGCTGGATGCATAAAAGACATATTTACTGCCTTCTTTTTAACTTTGTTAGAAAACTAACCGAAAAAAAAAAGGAATGGTGAAATATGGATTTTTCCTTACTAATCATATGCATACCAATTGCTTCTACTATATTTCTTAAAGGTAAGACATGATTGATGTAGAATCCCCTTTCGAGTTCCGAGCCCTGGAAGTTGCTCTGGAAGCAATTTGCAGCTTTCTTGATGCCCGAACAACAGAACTGGAGACAGCTGCCTACCCAGCCTTGGATGAACTTACTTCAAAGGTTTGTGAGAATTTTTTCCTCGCACTTTCTTATGTTTATGCTTTTGAAATCGCAAACAAATCGTTTTTCTTTTAGTCATAATTTTGTAGTTCACCTGGAACAAAGCAATTGTTACTACCTTACCATTGCCATTTTCTGATACCGTGGAAATGGTATAGTTGAGTTTACACCTGTGATTATAGCTTGGTTCCTTGTATTTTCATCCATGTTGATATGGATCAATGAATTTAATTACATCAAGAAAAAGTGGAATATTTTTAATAAGGAAAATTTACATACATACCACACAATTTTTTAAATATTTACATATCTAACACCTAACTTTTATATTTACATTTGTAACATTTTGTTGAAAAGACTATGCACAAAAAGGTGTATTTAACTGTTTAAAAGTAGGTAATAGTGGTATTTTTAATGTAATATTAAAGATTTGAGTGCTGTGTATGTCAATACTAAAGTTTTGGTGTTAGATATGCAAATGCATAAGAATTGTTTGGTATGTATGTAAATGCCCCTTTTAATAATTGTGAACTGAATAATATTTTGTTTGAAAAAGATACTTGACATTAAAGTGCTTTTCATGTGCCTGTATCTATGTATACTGAAAATGTCAAGACAATACTTGGTCACCTTGATCGCAATGATGGTTTGATAAGATGACTTGAAATATTCAAAATTTTAGCAGAACTGCCTAACAATATAAGTTTGTTTTTTTTGTATATTCCGCATGCCACTTGTTATCAATTTGCAACAATATTTGCTTAGTTTACCATATCTTATTTAATTTTTCACAGTATTTATTGTTTAATGTTTTTTTTTTCGTTATATTGTTAAAGTTTATATTTCTCTTTGTATACAGTAAATAGGGTCTGATTATTCTCTTTACATTGCTGGTCATACTCTAGTTGGGCTGACCCTATTAAATCCAGTTTAACTTTTCCCCATGCAGCATAGTTTGCTCATCCTTTTTTTTGGCTGTTGTTTTCTTTCGATCAAATCCTTCTCCATTGTCATGGTGAATTGGTTATCAGGTGTAATCATGACCTGCAGATTAGCAGCCGAAATCTGGACCGGGTGAGGAAATTGAAGAGTGCAATGACTAGATTGACTGCTCGGGTTCAGAAGGTATATTCTTACATACACTGGCTTTTTCCAATACATAAGCTTAAGTGAAAAAATGCATGTGAAAGTAAAGGCTTTTGGTCTAATCCTGCACCATATGGTTGGCTGAAAAATACTTTTCGTTTCATTAAGTGGCTTGTTATGTTAATTTCATATGGTTCTACCATCTGAAATGATTTTTGACGTGTGTGATTTGTTTCTATTATGTGTGATGGGTTTTTTTGCTTCTTGCTTGAAGTGCTAGTCTTACAGATGAATTTTGTGTGCCATGGCTTTTTTTTTCCGTCATACTGCTGTCGAGGAGTGAAATCAATCTGATTATCTGTAGCTTATTAACTAATATTTTGTTGATATTTCATTTATTCTTTAATATTTTTATTATATCTCAAGAAAAATCAAAAATATATGTGTGAAGCTCAATTTGTAGACTTAGGAGATGAAGCGGAAGAAGCTTATCAATGTGGCTATTAGATTTATGGGCTTTTCTATACGGCAGTTAAAGGGTGTACTCTTTCGTGGCAATGGATTACAAGTTTGCACGGTCTTGTTAGTGTAAATTGTCCATGAATGGCTTTGAAGAAGAACTACACTTATTCTTAGTTATGCATGCTTAATAACTTGCAGAATAATGCAATGTGTGTTTATCATTTTTTGGAAGTGCCCACCCTATTCTTAAGACGCATTTATTCTTCTATTTGTGTTGAAGTTCTAGATTTTGAAGTGCTTGAGGGGAAATCAATATAGATGATTCCATAAATTTCTTTTTTGTTATGACCAGCAAAACATTGTGCGTTAATGTAGTATTATCTAGTTAGCCAAGTCAGCTGAAAGCACATGGCCACTTTTCTTTAACAGACTTTGTTGTGATTTGTTGTTTTTGAATGAATAGTTAAATACAGGATGTTAGTCGTTGCATTCTGTTTGTGGTTCTTAATCAGTGAGATATGTTTCTAAAAATTGTTTATTTTTTTCGATAAATTGGTTCCAAGTTCACTTACATATGTTTATTTTGCATCAACTTTAGCGTAATACGGTGGCAATTCATTAGCAGATGAGGCTTTTGAGAGATCCTAATGTCATGTGCATAAATGATTTGAAAAGTAAATTACTAATATTTGCTTGAGTTTTCTAGATGTGTATCCTGCCATTTTATATTAAGTTGCTTTTCTCGTACGCTAAATTGGTCTAAAAAGGTTTAAGAAAATCATTTTATTTTTATTTGAACATATTTTTCAATTCAGACAAGAATAATAACAAAGACTTTTTCATGTGAGATGGCAAAAGTGCAACAATAATGGTTATTGTATTTCCATTTCTATACCACTTGCAGTATACCAAGTATGGCATTGGGAGTTATCTTAATTTTAATAAGATAAACATCTCAAAAGCATGTCTATGATATAACTATATTTGACTTTGGATATACATTTTACAACTACTGTTTTTTAAGGAAAAAACTGTCTTAGCATATATGGATGCAATTTACTAAAATCCAAAACTAGTCAGTAATTCTAGTTGACCTACCGAAACTTGATGAATTTAAGTTTCTTTTCTGTTTTCAGTTTCTACTAATTCACACGTCATCAGGTAAAAGTGATGCAACTATCTTCAGAAATTGTGTTTCATGTCTCTTGCATGAATAAAATTAATTTATTAGTTACATATTTAAGAAATAACAATTTTTTCAAATAAAAACGAGAAGAAATGTGTCATATGAGGTTTGGGATGGTGGTTCATCTGTGATTGCATCTTGTAGAAGTATTATTTTTGATACAGAGCTCATTCACCATTTTGATAGTCAGAAACCTCATATGAATTATTGACTAGCAAATTTTATAAAGTGCACCATTTTACTTGGTTTAGAAGGATAGTATTCCTTCACGCGCCATGCCAATAATTTTATATGATCCCTAAAGGTTTCAACTTTTTTTTTGTAGTTATTTTTTATGTGGATCTATTGACCCTTAAATGAGTAATTGGTTAGAGGATTCTTGCATTTCAGTATTCATGCATGAAAGCATTTCATGATTGCCTTTTCTTTCTGCAATTTTTTGTGGTCAGGATCTTTTTTTTATCATATTATAATTTACAGAGTATCTTGTAATTTATTTCTATTTTGTGTAAAATGTTTATGACCATCATTATAATTTTTATCCAATGTATTTGAATAATGTTTTTACAGTTATGGTAAAAATTCGAGCACATTGTGACATAAATTTTAGCTGCTAAAAATTGTGTAATGAACTTGACTTGTACCATATTTTACTTTCTTAGGTTAGGGATGAGCTTGAGCAATTACTAGATGATGATGACGACATGGCAGATCTGTATTTGTCAAGAAAATTGGCTGGTGCGTCATCACCTGTAAGTGGCTCTGTTGCTACTATTTGGGGACCTGGTTCACCAACTATAGGCTCAAAGATATCTAGAGCAAGCAAGGCAAGTGCAGCAACACTTCATGGGAATGAAAATGATGTTGAGGAGCTAGAAATGTTACTTGAGGTCATGAAGACTATTACATTCTTGTCTTTTTTTATGTGTAAACCTTTAAATTGCTGAACATAATGGCTATCCAAGTTACGTACTAAGTTTCCCTAAATATGTGCAGGCATACTTCATGCAGATTGATGGAACATTAAACAAGTTAACTACGGCAAGTCAATTGTTTTATTTCATTTATGTTAATTATTCATTTTTGTTATTTCATTGACATAATAAAGCTATATATATTCGAGTGATGGAAGCAGCCATTTTGAAATAAACCCCTCAAACAAAAACTCCATGCATTGCATATGCCATATTTATATGCTTATATGTTAAGCAACTCTGCCATGTTCTAAATATGATTTGAATATTTTTGTAAATAGAGCTGAGATCATAATGACTATGTGCAAGTAACTTGTTTTAAGTGTAACTTCTATTATAAGTTAAATCAAGTTGCATGTTTTCATGTTCTGACTTGCTAAAGAATTAAAAAAGATGATAATACGATCTTTATCGCCATTTTATCTCTTTTAAAATGATCCGCTTATATCTTATGCAAACAGCATCATGCATTTCATGATTTTCCTCGTTAGTGATTCCATGCCATCAATGAAACACTAATGCTAGTTGTGAATGTATCTATGAAGCGTTTTGGATGGCAGTACGGCTATGTTCATATTGGTGAGACATGTTGTCATGGAAGGATGCTTGTTGTATGCGTTCATGAATGTTTCCCTTTTAGGCTTTGGAAATGTTTTTGGATAGTCCTTGGATGAATAAATCATTCTTTATTTACAAACAATGCCGTGGCCTCTTCAACTTGATTAGTTCAAAAAAATTTCTTTCTTTCTTTGGCTCTATTTGATTTTTTTTTATTTTAATTACTTCTCGTCCAATATCCTCTCCTTATTAAGTATTCAAATGTATAGTTTGTTTAGATTTTCACTTATATTCTTAAGATTTTATTTCGATGTAACATGTTTGTTTATGCTTTTATTTTGTTAAACTTAACCTTTCAGATTGGGTGCTGCATGTCAATGTTATGTTTATACCTATTCTTTATGGAATTAAATTAGGACCTTCTGCTTTCCTGGATTAATCATCTGGACCTCGATTGTCTGCCCAGTAGATCCTGCTGGAGTCATCTTAATAACCTAGATCTAACCTTGGTTTCCGGATGATATTCTTGTTTCTTTTTAAGTAACACCTTACTGATGTGATTGCTCCTTTATTCTTAGTTTTGCTCTTCTTCTGGTGGTACTATTCTTATCCTAAGTGATTACATTATTCTTTTCTTATTAGTTTGAAGTATTTTTAGTGAGTTTTAAGGACCCGACTCTATGTATAGTGTGCATTAAGATCGTATGAAAGTAATTGAATGATTATTAAATATTGGGATTTCTCCAACTATCTCTATTCTTCTCTTTTTCCATACTCTTTTATCTCTCTCTTCCTCTCTTTATCTTTGAGTATCTCTTGTCAGCACTCATTTATCTCTTCTCTAAATTCGGTTGTGCTACACCATATCAATAGTATTTAAGCAAATTGTTTTTACTTTCATTATTGGTTATCTTGCTATAGTGATTGAACACAAACCCCTCCATCTTGCTTGCTAGTCAAATCTTAATCCAGATTACGAACTTCACTTGGCATGTTCCATCACACATCTTTTTGCACTAATATTACTATTATAAGCTTCCCAACATCCATGCCCCTTGCACGCATTTCCTTCTGCCCACACATGTGCGATTTTAAACGCATCCCACTTCTTTCATGTTGCTGCTTTATAAACTTCTGCCCCAATTTCAGCCTAGATTGCCTCATTACACATGATTGTCTGTGCACTGCACATGAGACTTTGTTCAAAGTGTATCATCCTTAGTGGTCACTCACGCCTTACACATTGTTTTCATAACATTATCACTTGTTGTGAATCCCAATTTTTTTTCATCGCAACCGGCACCTGCACTACCAACACTAACACATTATTCACTCTGGTATCCAGACTCTCTTATCTGAAATAGTGCATACACTTGATCGCATTCTCAAGCTTTTTTTTTTGAAGCAGCCTTAAACAAAATTCTTAATTGTTCGTTGCTTTGAACATACATTTTTGGCCTCCACATTACTTTAAGATATTACTAAGCTAATGTATTCTATACATGCAGCATATGCTTCCTATCATGATCCTTCTGATGAACATTATAATTTTAAGAGGCATCTTAAAATTTGCTCTTTTTATCATGATACTTGGAATCCCTATTTTTGAAAACTTGGGGTGGACATTATATGGTTTGTATCATAATTTTTATTGGTGCATATACTCCTTTTTGTATTGTTATTTTGATAGATCATATCATTACAATCTTATATATTCTCATCAACAAAATCATGCTCTTGACAGACCATATTGTAATGGCTATGGCCACCCTCACCCCCAATATGATATCTATCCATAGCTGAACCATTTTAATTGGATTTCACATAAATCTTTACTAATCTCTTATCATCTAAAACCATTTTTTGAAATATTTAATATTAAATTGGATGGGTACCTTGAGGAAACAGTAAAGTGCCAAAATAGTCCCTTTACTATTTACATAGGGTCGTTTTAGTCCAAGAGTTTATCTAAGTTTCAAATTAGTCCCTAGAATCTTTAAATTGGGGCTCTAATGGTTCTTCATGAGAATCATTTCAGCCCCAAAATTAAAGAGTCTCAGACTAATTTGATATTTTTATAGATTCTGGGAGAAAATTGACCCCTATGTAAATAATCAGGATACTATTTTGGCACTTTACTCCTTGAGGAAATAAAAAGGCTCGAGTTATTACTCTATCCAGTTATTGCAATCTCAACTTCAACAGTCTCGTTGTTTTTAACTCTACGTGTGTCTGAGTCGAAGGGTAATGATATGTTTAATCTTGAATTTTGTTCATGAGGATGATTTGAGCTAGAGCTTGCACAAGTTATGTTACCAAAGCTTATTGCTGCATCTATGTCTCAGGAGATTTTAGTATTTTCGCTTCACATTCTTTATATATAGAGATGTAAGTTGTTTCCATACTATTATTCCCTACTCAATCACCAGTTAACATTGTCTTTTCGCTGCTTTCGTCATCTTATTTCATATTGATGCGTATACACAGGAGCATAATGGATGGAGATATTCAAATTCTCCGCTGTCTATTTTGTAGAATGTTAATTGGCTTTTTATATTATTGTCAGCTTCTTCATTCGTATTGATTGACTTCATACTGCCACCAATTTTTTCATAGACAAATTGTCATGGGAATTTTTCTAATTTGATTCTTAATTTATATTGACCCCCACCTCGCGGCCAAATTCACAAGTTGATCGATCACTCACACATCCAGTAGTTTCTTACAATGACTGTCAGCCACTTCTTCTACTAAAAGACTAAAATATTTGTCTGCTCCTGAATACGCCTAGAGAGGTGTTTGAGCCAGTTCTGCCACCGCCACCATCATTATGTTTGCTAGCAAATGTGTACGGTGATCCTATGACTCCGGACAGCAGCTAGGAATTTCGAATAGCACCTGTATGAGTTCCTATGAACCCAAACAACAATGGGCAGCACCTATGCGGCTTCCTACGAATCCGAACAGAGGTGGGCAGCGACTAGAAGCATTGGACAACGGTCCTACAGCTCTTATAGCTCGGGGCAGCAACTCTACGGTTTCCTACGACACCGGGCAACAACTAACATGCTTGTACGGTTTCAGATTCTGCATAAAGCTAAGCCGAATCAATTTCCAACTAACATAGAGCTTAAAACAAATGCAGTCCAGCTTAATGAGCTTGTAAAGTCCCCACAATGCTTCTCTTGCAGCTTCTCGAGTAAGCTTTAAAATGAAGTGGGGTAGGTTTTAGGCGAGTTTTGGGGGTTGTGTAGGCCCTCCAAACAACATTAAAGCTGCCTAAAACGCATTTTGAACTATTCCACGCGGCACTCTGGTCAATCTCAAAAGGATAAGTTTAAAAGAGTTTAAAACAGTGAAGGCACTAACAAGTTTTGAGGTTTTCCTGGGGCTGTCCAACTATAGGATTCCAACAGCGTTGCGAAGGGGTTCGAGTGGTGATTCATGACTGATTTGACCTATGTTTTGGGTGCTATTGAAGGGTTGTTTAGCGGCCGAACCTCTGCAGTGTTTTAACAAACTTTTGGGCTGTTTGATGACAGGATTTGAAAAGAATTTGTAAGGATTTGGAACCATTTTGCCACAGGATTTATGAAGGCAAGTTCATCCAATTCAGCCCAACTAGATAGATATACATATATATACCACATAATTCTTATACATTTACATATATAACACCTAAAAAAAAAAAAACTTTATCCATTTGCATAGCCTAAATCATTTGTATCACATAAGAAAGTCCACCAAGTTAATTTTTAAACAGTGAAATATACCAGTTCATGCATAGCTAGTGTGGATTTTCTGTAAAAGAAAATGTAATTTAGGTATTACATATGTGAATATATAAAAAAAACTGTGTGGTATGTGTGTGCATCCTTTTCCTAGATCCGTATTAAGCGAATCGTTGTAGAACATAATGATTCATAGGACAAGTGCAATAATAAAAGCAAAAGGAAATAAAGCTTGTCAGAGGAGAAATGGTCACCAACTAGTTGAAGATTCCGGACGGGAGCAGAGGAGAAGGAGATGAGAGCTCCGCTGCTCTCTGCAAGATACAATCTCGTTACGACGTTGTCAATGGCCCGAGCTCCTGCGAAGGTTTCAGCAAAAAAAAGGAGGAAAAGGCGTGTGGGTGAGAAAGCGAATTGAGGGAGGGAGGCAAGGCTTCTTGGGTGAGCCAGTAAAAGAGGAGGCCGAGCGCTGTGAATGAATAGGAGCAGGGCTGAATGTCTGGCGAGGAAGAGAGAAGCGGCTTCTACTGCGTGAGGAAGAGGAAAGCAGATGCGAGAGTTTCGGTATGTGAGGGAGTCGCAGAGGGAGGAACAGGATCGAGCTCTACGGCTTCGGTGCGGGAGACGGGAGAGAGCAAGCGGCTTCGGTGCGGGATCCAGCGGAGACGGGATCGAGCGGCTTCAGTGCGGGATCGAGTGGAGACGGGATCGAGCGGCTTCAGTGGCGGGAGGCAGGATCGAGCGGCTTCGGCGTGGAGAGGAGGAGAGCGGGCGAGCTTCCTGGTTGCAACGACAGGAATGAGAAAATTGAGTGGAATGCCAAAGGGAGAGAAGAGCTCGAGGGAGGCGAATCCAGCCGACCCGCTCAGGAAGAAGGCTTTTTTTTAGAATTCGAGCGGGGTTAGGAGCCGTTACCTTGGCGGGGAATTCATTGATTTCCAAATCCAGGGAGGATTAAATGGAAATAATTAACTCCTGAATTAATTTTAATTAAGACAGCATTTAAATACTTTATTTAAAATTTGAAATTTGAATTTCAAATTCAGGTGAGCTGGTGCCTAGCCCGTGCTCAGCCCGAGTCCAGCCTGAATCGAACCCGAGTCAAACCTGGGTTGAGTCCGGGCCC